TATGTATGTATGTATGTATGTATGTATGTATGTATGTATGTATGTATTTGTTTTTCCTAAAGACCTTTTGTGTCTGCAGAACGAAAGGTGCATTGACCTAGGCCGCAAGGCTGCCAGCAGCAGGCTAGAAGTAGTCAACGTCGAGCACCGGGTCATCAGCATCAGTGCCGCTCTCTGTGTCTTCGCCAAAAGCCGAGGAGCTTGACCTGCCTCGTTTGGCCACAGGGGACTGCTGAGTTTGCGGTGCATGTGGCATTTGCCAAGGTGCCTGACCGTCTGGCTGGGTTTCATGGCCTGTGTCATCGCAGCTGGCATGGGCATGGGTGGCCATGAGTGCCTCGGGCTGTCTTGTGACTGCACTGTATTGAAGTTGCCTGGGTATCAAAGGTGACAAAGCTGTCTGGCTCGGAGCCGAAGCAAGATAGCCCAAAGTTGGCTGGGTATCATGGCCTGCTTGGGTCTTGCTTGTAGTGCCAGGGCCCGGTTCTATGGACTCTCCTGGTGCGGTGTCAGGCTTACTTGGAGGCTTGGCCGCAGAAGGCTGCCTTTTGAAGAACTCAGACAAAGGCGGTGAGGCCGCAATGGGCGCCCCTTTGCACGCTTTCTGCAAGGTGGCTGTGGCAATGGGCCGGCCTTGAGCATCGGTGTGCGTTTGGGTGCCACAGTGCTTGCAGTGGATGCGATCTCCTCGTTGCCAGAGGAGATGTGTTGCATGGCCACTGTGGTCCTGATCGAACGGCCGGTTGACACAGGGACCCTGGACATAGGCGGTGAAGGCTTCTTCATTCGTCCTTTTGTGAATGCTCTGTCCACAAGTGGTGCATCTGAGATATCCTTTGGTTTCTTCAAGGGTGTGTGCACTGGCGGATTGCTGTTGTGCCTGTTTCTCAAGCAAGCTGGCGATCAGCTGTGCCCTGGTGGCCTTGCGCTGAATTGGCTTGTGTGGGCTGTGCATATCAGGGTGTGCCTCATCGAGCTGGATCTGGGGACAAGGCTGCTGGATGCGTTCCTCAATGGTGGAGGCCGTCAATGCTTGGTGAACTCGGATTCCACAGGCACTGCACTGATAGCCGCTTCGGTGAGGTTGCCAACGGTGCTTGGGTGCCTGCCACGCGTGGGTGCAGAGCTTGACAAGCTGCTTCTTGTGCTGCTTGGTGTGCCTCCCTTGATGCCTGTTGGGCTTTTGATGCAGGTAGTGTTCTTTATCTTGATACACAGCGGCCAGGCGAGCTGCAGCATGGGTGTAGATAGTTTCATGGTCCTGATCAAGGGTGTGCTGCCAGTCGGTAGCTCGTTTGTTTTGGAGCTGGGTGGCACGTTCCCATGCCGTCAATGCTG